AGATAATTTACTAATTCTAATGAGTAAAAACTAAAATAGGTTAAATTTGTTAATGCATTCGGTATCGGGAGTTCGGGTAAAATTGCCACTTCTTGGTATAAATTTAATATTTTTTTCACATAAATGTAAACACATTAAACACATGCATTGATAAGAGTTGGAACCGATGACTTGGCTCATAACAAAAAATTTTTAAACCTGGTCAAACTTAACGTTACATAAAAGTCCGGTTTTTATCCGGTTAAGCCAATAGTAGTCGTATGAATGAACACTAAGTATTAGATATTCAATTCATAGTATAGTTTTCAAGTATTAAAATTTACCAAAATCCCAATTGTGTTGTTTAGCAATGAATGTGTTGTGGACGCAAAATATACTGCAATTTATTTTAATACTTTGTATTTTAATCATATGTTTTCTAGATGACATAATTGTATTGTATATTTATTTTGTAAATATTAATTATTTTAATTTCTAATAGGGTATCAGACAATTTGGTTGAGAACATACTTTAATTTAATGGTATTTATTGTAATGATTTAAATAAAGGCCACGGTGCTAAACTTTTCATCCAAAATACCGCCAATAATAACAATATTTTAAAATAATCCACATTTTCATAACAATCAAAATCAAACAATTATTACATAAATAAAATTACTTTACTTACAATCCGTAGTTAACACACAGGTCATGTCCAGCGGACAGGGATTGCATGCTATGGCCCTCTTGGCCAACACTACAGACAGGCAGCTCAGCCGACCCACTCAGGGTAACACCGGCCACATCACTCCTCGTAAGCCGTGCGCAACAGTGCGGCCATATCTGTCAGCTGTACGTCCCGGAGCTGGTCGTAAGGCACGGATGGAGGGATGAGTGGCCGGGCAAACGTCCCATCGGACGGGTGAGGGCTGACCTGTTCGGGTGGCGGTGTGAGTGGGCTCGGCATGGGTTCAATAACAGGCGTTTCTGCACTGTATTGACGGTCCGGTATTTGCGGCAACTGTGCGACCATTACTGAACTCTGCGGCGGAGTGGGCGGCAACTGTTGCCGGTGGCCATCGGTGGCCAATGTCTCCCAGTTTGAAAGGCATTGCTAGTAATGTTGGTGTGAAACTTGTTGGGTCTACCGGTGTCCCAATGTGTTGTAAGTTATTGAACGGTTCCCCTGAAGGGAATCCATGCGCTGATCCGTTGGACATGATTTAGATTTAGTATAAATTTATAATATTTTTATAATGTTTATAAGACAATTATTTAATGTGCCTAATTTTAACATTTTATTTAAATAGAAATTTTTATAAAAATAGCTAAAATTTCATCAAATAAAATGGTATGTATTTTAATAATTACAAATCATTGCATAATGTATTTCACGTAAAATAATATTAAAAATAAATAATTTTAAATAACAATTAATACATTAAAATTACTTTCAAAATAACTTGCATTCAGTGGTTAAGACACACACAGACACAGACCTACAAGACATGGCTCGCAGGTACGGAAACCAACCTCAGGAGTCACCACAATATGCACTTTCACGCATTATGCGCACCACCCCTACCCCTACCACCACCCCTCGGTTTGCACCGGGCAGATACGGACGCACTTTCGCCAACCTTGTGGAGCGTATGGATAATCTGGACCGACCCATAACGCCGGCCACCAATCAAAGCGCTGTCCGAGTTGGAGGCGTCCCACAGTATAGCTACCCGACCCCACCCATCACACCGGTCACCGGTGGTCGCCGTCGCCCCCCGACACCGCCCCCAAAACCACTCAGAGGTCGCCCGACACCGCCTCCCAAACCGCCCAGAAGTCTCATTACTCAGCGATTGGCCCAACCATACAGAGAACCGACACCTGAATTAGCTCCGGGAGATGAGGAGCTCGCCCAGTATGGGGCTGTTGGCGGAGTGCCCGCAGTGGGTCACTACTACGGTCCCCTCGGTTCGGAGTACGCATACCCGACCCCACTCATCGCTCGGGTCGCCGGTGGCCGCCGTCGCCCCCCGACACCGCCCCCACCCAAACCGCCCAGACTTCCGCCGACACCGCCACCCAAACTGCCGACACTGGGCGGGGCTGTTGGGGGAGTGCCCGCAGTGGGTCAGGACTACGTGCCCACCGGTGCGACACCAATGCTACGAGAGAGTCAAAAGCCATGGCCGCAGCTAAGGGGTCGCTACGAGTTCGCGCCGGACACCTACCAGACCGCGCGTACGAGCTCAACCACGTCCGGCGAGCTGAACGTGAGCAGCGATGAGTGGCCGCTCTTTGGCTTAGGCCGTTACGCCTCGTATGTAACCGCCCGCAAGCCAGTGGCCCGACTCCAGGCTAAGACCAAACGGGATTTGCAGAAACTACGGGGTAAGGGCTTCGACGTGGCCTACATCAACGCCAAGTCACTTGGCCAGGGTGCGTTTGGCGAGGTGTTCCGGGGTGGTTATACCGATCAGGTATGAGTACAGTTGTGCACCTATTAATTTTACTGTAATATGATTTTATGTAATAATAATATGGTTTTGTTATGTAATACTCAATAGATCGAGGTGACGAAGCGCACCCCACAGGGCCGCTACCTGCGCGATGTCAAGTCGGGCGATCAGTTCGCGGCCAAGTATGTCCAGTTCGCGCCCGATAGGAGGGCCAGCGATCATCTCAACCATTTCATCGAGAAATGTATATTAAAATCGCTGCGACACGAAAACATTGTTACCTACAGAGTGGCCATCAATTTGGGCCGAAAAGTGATACTTCGCAGCGTATCGGGTGACCCGTCGCAGGACATTGTCTCCTATAGGCGAGCGTTTTTGGTCATGGATTGCGCCGACCAAGGTACTCTGAAAAACTTTGGCGATGCTGGCCGTCTCACCGATCAGGTAACCGTCCAATTCACCCGGGAGTTGTGCACAGGTATGTTTTAACTGTAATAATTAAAAAATATGAATATTGTTTTTAATGATTATAATTTACCACGTGACTTTTTTCTATCTAATGTCTAGCCATGGCTTATATGCACGGCAAAGGGGTCAGACACGGCGACGTTCACGCCAGGAACGTACTGGTGTTCAGCGCACCCGGCGGTTGGTATACCGCTAAATGGACCGACTTTGGTCTGGCGGTGTCCCGAGACGTGTTCGCCCGGTGGGGACACGAGCTGACGCCCGGAGTGATGTACAAATGGGCCCGGGCTGATGCCACCTTTCTGCAATGGTATATCACCACGTACATGTTGGACACATGTAAAAACAATCCAGGTAATGTTGGCGCCGACTTGAGTGAGGTCAGGGCACTGGACGCGGAATTGAAAAATTCAAAGGAGTTGTTGACTCAAATGATGCCCAAATACAATATGTTTCAGTAGTAGTAGTCGTCGTATTGAATGAACACCAGGTATTAGACATTCAATACACAGTATAGTTTTAAAATAGTATTAAAATTTACAAGATTTCAATTGTGTTGTTTAGCAATGAATGTTTTGTACTGATGGGAAATACACTGCAATTTATTTTAATAATTTGTATTTTAATCGTGTGTAGTATGCTTTCCGGACAACATAATAGTAAATATATTAATTTTGTAAATATCAATTATTTTAATTTGCAATAGGGTAACAAACAATTTAATTTGAAAACATACTTGAATTTTATAAAAAAAATAATGGTATTTATTGTAATGATTTAAATAATGTACATTTCATCCGAAATAACGCTAATAATAACGCTATTTTAAAATAATCCATATTTTTATAACAATCAAAACCAAACAATTACTATAGAAATACATACAACCCGTAGTTAACATACAGGACATGTTCAGCGGACAGGGATCGCCTGCTATGGCCCAGCCATACGCCCCCACCGGACGCACATCACCCGCACGGGAGAGTCAACGACCGCATCGGCGGCTACAAAACCTCTACGAGATGGCGCCCGACAACTACCGGACCAATCGTACGGGCGATACCGCGTCCGGTGAGCTGAACGTAACCAGCGATCAGTGGCCGGGCGGGCGGTTAGGGCGAGTGTTAGCCCGTGTGGTGGCCCCCACTCCCGCGGCCCGACTCAAACGTAAAACCAAACGGGATTTGGCCAAACTAAGGGACCGTGGCTTTGCTGTTTTGTACACTAAAGTAGGTTCATTGGGCGCCGGTATGTATGGCCAGGTGTTTGCCGGTGTGTATACACAACAGGTATGGTTTTGCGCTAGTTACTTAGTTACTTAATTTTAATTTAATGTTGTTTTATGGTTATATTAACAGATAGAGGGTATTAAGCGTACTAAACAGGGTTAGTACGTGCGCGACGCTCAGCCGGGACAGTATTTTGCGGCCAAGTATGTCCAGTTCACGGTCGATGCCGACCCACTGCGACATCTCATACACTATATTGAGAAAAATGTATTGAAATCTTTGAGTCATGAAAACATTGTCGCCTACAGAGTGGCCATTAATTTAGGCAAAAAAGTGATTCTCCGCAACCCATTGGGCGCCGACATTGTCAGCCATAGGCGCATGTTTTTGGCCATGGACTTTGCCGACCATGGCACTTTGTACCAGTTTGGCATGGATGGTTATATCGACGACCGGGTGACTGTGAAATTTACCAAGGAGTTGTGCTCAGGTATGTTTTTAATATTTGCTATATTTAACATAAACATAATTAACATGTTGTTCCCAACAGCCATGGCTTATATGCACGACAATGGGGTCGTACACAATGACTGTCACTACAAAAACATACTGGTGTTCAGCGCACCGGGAGGTGAGTATACCGTCAAATTGGCCGACTTTGGCACATCTGTATCCCGAGAACTATTTGCCAGATTGGGAGTGGATGTATCACCTGGACAATTGTACGATATGGCCATGGCAGATATTACGCAACTGCACTATGTAGTAAAGTTTATGTTGTTCATGTGTCGAGACAACGGGGTAAATGTTATTGTAGTTTTGCCTGAAGTGATAGAAGTGGCCGCAAATATGATGACCCCTTACGAGCCGTTGAGCCAAATAATGGCCAAATACCCAATGTTTCAGTCATAGGTTTGAATGAATTTAAATATTTGAGTTTCAAACGTTAAAAGTTATTAAATTGTGTATCATGGTAAAGTATTCTAGTTTATTTATAAGTTAAACAAATATTTATATATTTTCTAATGTACTAGAAGAAAGCACATAAGGCCGGTCAATCCTAACCTCTCTCTCTCTCTCT